GACTTTCAGGATGTAGCGAGTATCATTTCGGTCCTGTTTGACGCAGAGAGGATTGGGGCTAAGCCATTCCGCCTCATTCACAGGATGCTAGATTGGCTCTAGCAACGAACTAATATTAGCGTCTAGTATTTACGAATACGCATTAAAGTTAAAGCGTGAATATTTTCTTCACATACGGCAAACGTTACCTTATTGGTAAGGCTCACGTTAAAATCATAAGACATCAGCCTCTCTCACCTTTATTTTGATACTTGATTCACCTAGATTTTGAATCATAGGGGACAGAAAACTTCATTCCAAATGAAAATTTCTTTCACTAAAGTTATCACAGCTCATGATTAACTTTTCAAAAATAGAGTAAAGAAGATAGTTCAACATCGCGACAGAAATATGCCGGAAGGATTTAAACGAGGAACTTGATCTTCACAAATTTTTGCCGGCTACCCACTTTGATTTCGTCTTAGTTCTTCAGTAAAAATGTCTTTTAGATAGAAATTGTGGAGTACTGAACGCATCGTGGGATCTATGTAAACTTCAAAAAGTCGCATCATGTCCTTGAAGAAAAGTCCGAGTAAAACATGGTGCGATCAAGAACTACAGCTATGTACAACGGTGCTGTCAGACTTCCAGTAAAACTAGAATTCAAGAACTCCATCAGAATTACGCCATCTTTTTGATCTTAAATTCTCATGAATGTTTCTAAGTGGAATAATCATAAAGGATCGTTGTTATCATAAAGGGCGTTGCCTTATGGAAATTAAACTCGCACGAAAAGGACGGAAGCAGGTTTATTAACTTTGCAGCTGATCAACCGGGTACCTTTGGTGTCGAACCGAAGTTGAGCAACTGAATTATGAGTTTGAGAAAAGAGAAACCTCTAAAAACAACTCCTAAAAAACTTCTTTTCATTCAAAAAATCTGAAAAATAAATAAAAACCCTATATACAAGCCCTGTTCAGACAGGAAAACTCCAAATCGAATAAGCACTTCAAGGAGCAGGAGAAAAAAACAAGCGCGAGTAAGTAAAAGGCGCGATAGGAGTCTTGCTGAAGAAAAATCGTGAGTCCCTGCTTAGTCACGTCGCGACAGTGGGAGTCATGTCGCGATAACAGCTAGTCGCGCTGAATTTTTGATAAAACACGGGACTCACGATGCGACTTCGTGAGTCACATCGCGAGAATAAGGACTCACGTCCAAATATTGGAAAAAACATGGGACTCACGTCGCGACTTTGCCGTGAGAGTCGACCTGGGTCACCCTCACCACAGACTTTTATTTTTTAAATCTTACGGTAAAACGTATAAAACGTAAGATAGTCACACTTTTGCAGGACATTGTTACACATTTACCGTAACATTTCGAAAACGAAACTCGGTCCTGCATCTTTCCAAAAGGTAAAGAAAATTTAGATATTCGCTGAGGGCGTTACCTGACAGCTGTACTTTTGCACTGGAATGTAGCAGACTCAGCAAATATTTCTGTAGCGACTCTTGGTCTGAAGGAATTCTTTTTGGAAATAATCATCTTTTGACTGCTTTTAGTATGAAACAGTTTGCAACGTGAGAAAATTTGTTCAATACAATGCAGCTTTGTAAGTTATTATCCCTCACAGTCCTCGTTCACTGTTTCGCTGGTTGCTGTGGTTACCAAAGTCCACAATCGCAGTTTCTCTCACAATTCATGAGTTTGGCCATTGAACTGAGTAGACAATGTCTAACAAAATCGAACTGTACACTAACGGTAATGAATACCATTGAATATGCGAGGAAAAATGTTTACTCTCTCCTAACACAATTCGGTGGTACAAACCGGCTACCCGCCGAACAACGGAAACAATTAGATGAACTTCAAAAACTGCGAGAAGAAGTTCTAGCTCAAGTATATCCGAAAACCAAACATTCATCTATTCAATACTATCATGTCATTGAAATAAAAAGTCTAATAAGTATTGGCGAGCAAGGATTTCCCGTTTATACGTACAATCTCGATAATAATGAGCAAGCAGTGGAGGATGAGCACGTCGAAGCATTGAATAAACTCAATTCAGTGTCGAATGCAATTATTGTGAGTACCATTGGAGATTATAATTCAGGAAAAACATTTTCAGGTAAATATCTAATCTAATGAAACTAAGTAAAACGAAATCCAAACTGCTTGATATTATTTTCACAACTTTTAACTTGAAAATTATTTTCAAAATGACTTCTGCTTTCCTTTTTAATGTTGAAACCTTATAGAGAGTATAATACTGCTACGAAGAACATTCCAGATCAATTATAATTTACCTGAACTATTTCTGTTACGCTTTCGGTGAGAACGTTCACCATCGTCAGGTAACAATATGCCAAGAAAAAGAATTATTACTATTATATATGTCTACAGACGCCCAAGAAGCACATCCACCTCACTACAAACGCGCGCAGCTACTCGGGCACAACCGTCTCCACAGACCACCGGCTAGTCATCACCACCACGGTGATCAAGCCAAACTTCTTGAGACGGCAAGGCACAAATGCCAGATCGGTGAAAATCGACGTACCACGCCTAGCCAACAACGCGACAGATCGACAC